TGTAACTCAGTAAAATCATTGAAATTGTTGCATGTTGCTTTCATATTTTTGTTCAGTATATATAATTATACATATTATATTATTAGTTTGGGGGGGGGGGGTTTGGGGGTTGGACAAACTCAGTATACTTAAAAATTACTACAACCAAATCAAAACATGTAGAAATTATAATGGACATACATTCATACAGTTTCTTTGCTATGTCCCACTCGCTAATAATCACCGAAATGAAAACTAGAGACAGTCAGGGATCATCGAAAATTCAAAAACTATCTTTTGATTATTTTGATGGCGAGGACATATAACCAATTTTCAGTGCAGCCCTCCGGACCTCGTTGAAGAGCGAATGGGGCCCCCAGGGCAAAATGAGTTTGACACCCCTGCTTTAGACAAAGAAGTCCTTTGGAGTGATCATGTTACAATTTAATTCCAACTCCACTGTAACCGTTTGTCACGATCGTCGGGAACAGAGGACCAAGGCGCAGCGTTGCAGGCAAACATACTCTTTAATTAGAGACACGATCAAAACAACAAACGATACGTGACAGTTCACGGTCTAACATCAACAGACTTGAAACAAGATCCCACAAACACAAATGGGAAACAGACAGTTTAAATATGGCTCCCAATCAGAGACAACCAACGACAGCTGACACTCGTTGCCTCTGATTGGGAGCCACTCAGGCCAACATAGAAATACACATACTAGATAAACAAATGAAATGCACACCCTGGCTCAACATACAAGTGTCCCCAGAGCCAGGGCGTGACAGTACCCCCCCCTAAAGGCGCGGACTCCGACCGCGCCCACCAAACACCACAGGGGAGGGACCGGGTGGGCACTCCGCTTAGGCGGCGGATCCGGCGCCGGGCCTGATCCCCGCTCCCTCTCCAACCCCCCAAAGTACCCCTGGTCCGGTCTGGCCCCGCTGGCCGGAGCTGGACTGCACACTGGTGGAGCGGATTGCTCTAGCTCCGGCGTGAAGCATCTGACCGGTGCCGGACCAGCCACCGGTGGAACAGGCACGGGCCGTGCCGGACTGACGACGCACACCACTGGCTTGGTGTGGGGAGCAGGAGCGGGCCGCGCCGGGCTGACGAAACGCACCACTGACTTGGTGCGGGGAGCAGGAGCGGGCCGGACCGGGCTGACGAAGCGCACCACTGACTTGGTGCGGGGAGCAGGAACGGGCCGTGCCGGGCTGACAAAGCACACCACTGACTTGGTGCGGGGAGCAGGAACGGGCCGAGCTGGGCTGACGAAACGCACCACTGACTTGGTGCGGGGAGCAGGAATGGGCCGGACCGGGCTGACGACGCGCACCACTGACCTGGTGCGGGGAGCAGGAACGGGCCGCGCCGGGCTGACGAAACGCACCACTGACTTGGTGCGGGGAGCAGGAGCGGGCCGGACCGGGCTGACGAAGCGCACCACTGACTTGGTGCGGGGAGCAGGAACGGGCCGGACCGGGCTGACGAAGCGCACCACTGACTTGGTGCGGGGAGCAGGAACGGGCCGTGCCGGGCTGACGAAGCGCACCACTGACTTGGTGCGAGTGGCAGGAACAGGCCGGACCGTACTGGGAACACACACCACTGGCCCTACGTGGGGATCAGGAACAGGCCGGACCGGACTGGCAACACACGCCAGTACCTCTCGCCGTGCCTCTACATCCTCCTTCCCCCTGGTGACCAGTGACTCCCGTAACCTGGCGGCCTCCTGCTGCCCCGTCGTCCACCGCGTTAGCCCCCCCCCCTAAAAAATTTATGGGCTTCACTCCTACCCGTGGACCAGGTCTCCATGCTCCTCGCCAGCCTTTCGCCCTTCTGCCTCCACATCAAGCCCCTCTCTTCCTCACATGGCTTGACCCAGTCGAGGAGGCGAAGGAGATCCGCTAGAGATCTCTCAGGCGCTGGCTCCTGGACTTGCTGCTTGGTCCAGTCTTGGTGGGATCTTCTGTCACGATCGTCGGGAACAGAGGACCAAGGCGCAGCGTTGCAGGCAAACATACTCTTTAATTAGAGACACGATCAAAACAACAAACGATACGTGACAGTTCACGGTCTAACATCAACAGACTTGAAACAAGATCCCACAAACACAAATGGGAAACAGACTGTTTAAATATGGCTCCCAATCAGAGACAACCAACGACAGCTGACACTCGTTGCCTCTGATTGGGAGCCACTCAGGCCAACATAGAAATACACATACTAGATAAACAAATGAAATGCACACCCTGGCTCAACATACAAGTGTCCCCAGAGCCAGGGCGTGACACCGTTCACGCTGTATGATGGCTGCTATGCCATATCTGCTTTTAGCAACCTTGGTGTATTTACACTAGCGTTGCTCCCTATTGGGTTAAATACAAACTGTCCATGGGAAGCCAGAAGTGAAATAAAATTGAATTTCAACTTACTGTGCCAGTGGGCAGGAAGGTTGGTCCTTCAAATGGGGGTAATTTGAGTCAAAATATCTAAAGGAACATATTATTAAACAGACTTTCCAAAATGTGGGTCTGTTGTAGTCCCACTTCCTCTCTGCTTAAATTAAAAGTATTGCAGAAGTCTTGCAGGTGTGCCATATGTGCCAAAAAAAAAAGAATAATTTGGGGGGGACTTTTATTTTGACATGAGGTAAGCAGAGAGCACCTTTTGGAATGTCTGTATAATTGGACGTTCCTTTAGATATTTTGTCTCAAATTCACCCTGTTTTAAGGAACAACCATCCTGCCCACCGGCACAGTAAGTTGAAACTGAATTTTATTTAACTTCTGGCTTCCCAAGGACAGTTCAGTTTTTAAACCCAATAGGAGGAAACACTAGTGTAAATACACGAGTGTTGCTAAAAGCAGCTAGCTATGGTGCATTAAGAAAATATTCAGACCCCTTGACTTTTTCTACATTATGTTACGTTACAGCCTTATTCTAAAATGGATTACATTGTTTTTTCCCCTCATCAATCTACACACAATACCCCATAATGACAAAGCAAAATCAGGTTTTTAGACATTTTTGCAAATGCATAAAAAAAATAACTGAAATATCACATTTACATAAGTATTCAGACCCTTTACTCAGTACTTTGTTGAAGCACCTTTGGCAGCGATTACAGCCTCGAGTCTTCTTGGGTATGATGCTACAAGCTTGGCACACCTGTGTTTGGGGAGTTTCTCCCATTCTTCTCTGCAGATCCTCTCAAGCTCTGTCAGGTTGCATTGGGAACGTCGCTGCACAGCTATTTTCAGGTCTCTCCAGAGATGTTTGATCGGGTTCAAGTCTGGGCTCTGGCTGGGACACTCAAGAACATTCAGTGACTTGTCCCGAAGTCACTCCTGCGTTGTCTTGGCTGTGTGCTTAGGGTCGTTGTCCTGTTGGAAAGTGAGCCTTTTCCCCAGTCTGAGTGCTCTGGAGCAGGTTTTCATCAAGGATCTCTCTGTACTTTGCTCCATTTATCTTTCCCTCGATCCTGACTAGTCTCCCAGTCCCTGCCGCTGAAAAACATCCCCACAGCATGATGCTGCCACCACCATGCTTCACCGTAGGGATGGTGCCAGGTTTCCTCCAGACATGACACTTGGCATTCAGGGTTCAATCTTGGTTTCATCAGACCAGAGAATCTTGTTTCTCATGGTCTGAGAGTCCTTTAGGTGCCTTTTGGCAAACTCCAAGCGTGCCTTTTACTGAGGAGTGGCTTCTGTCTGGCCACTCTACCATAAAAGCCTGATTTATGGTGTGCTGCAAAGATGGTTGTCCTTCTGGAAGGTTCTCCCATCTTCAAAGAGGAACTCTGGAGCTCTGTCAGAGTGACCATTGAGTTCTTGGTCACCTCCCTGACCAAGGCCCTTCTCCCCCGATTGCTCAGTTTGGCCGGGCGGCCAGCTCTAGGAAGAGTCTTGGTGGTTCCAAACTTCTTCCATTTAAGAATGATGGAGGCCACTGTGTTCTTGGGGACCTTCAATGTAGCAGAAATGTTTTGATACCCTTCCCCAGATCTGTGCCTCGACACAATCCTGTCTCGGAGCTCTACGGACAATTCCTTCGACCTCATGGCTTGGTTTTTGTTCTGACATGCACTGTCAACTGTGGAACGTTATATAGACAGGTGTGTGTCTTTCCAAATCATGTCCAATCAATTGAATTTACCACAGGTGGACTCCAATCAAGTTGTAGAAACATCTCAAGGATGATCAATGGAAACAGGATGCAACTGAGCTCAATTTTGAGTCTCATAGCAAAGGTTCATTTCTAAAAACCTGTTTTCGCTTTTTCATTATGGGTTATTGTGTGTAGATTGACGAGGAACAAAATTAATTTGATCAATTTTAGAACAAGGCTGTAATGTAACAAAATGTGGAAAAAGGGGAGGGGTCTGAATACTTTCCGAATGCACTATATACCCAAGCATGAACATGCTGCACCTACTAAACCTACCCAAGCTTTATATGTCCGTATTGGTCTTTATATGGCTGTTTTGGTCTTTATATGGCTGTATTTGTCTTTATATGGCCGTTTTGGTCTTTATATGGCTGTATTGGTCTTTATATGGCTGTATTGGTCTTTATATGGCTGTATTTGTCTTTATATGGCTGTTTTGGTCTTTATATGGCTGTATTTGTCTTTATATGGCCGTTTTGGTCTTTATATGGCTGTATTGGTCTTTATATGGCTGTATTGGTCTTTATATGGCTGTATTGGTCTTTAAATGGCTGTGTTGGTCTTTATATGGCTGTATTGGTCTTTATATGGGCTGTATTGGTCTTTAAATGGCAGTATTGGTCTTTATATGGCTGTATTAGTCTTTATATGGCTGTATTGGTCTTTGTATGTCTGTATTGGTCTTTATATGGCTGTGTTGGTCTTTATATGGCTGTGTTGGTCTTTAAATGGCTGTATTGGTCTTTATATAGCTGTATTGGTCTTTAAATGGCTGTATTGATCTTTATATAGCTGTATTGGTCTTTATATGGCTGTATTTCTTGGTATAGGATTGTCTCCTACTCACCAACCAGCAGGACCAGCCGACGGCCCTCTTTGGGGTCCCTGCAGTACGGGGCCACCTCCAGGTAGGTGGGGGTCTGCGTGACTCCTCCCATCTCCTGGCTCTTCCTTTTAGACTCAACACTCCCACTCCTACTGCCTCTCCTGCCCAGCCTGAAACTCCTCCTCAGACCAGCTGCAGGGAAAGAGATACCTGTCACACACCTGTCACTGTTTGCATGTGTGTGGGGATGGGTGTGTGTGAATGTTTCTTTCAATGTCTGTGTCTGTGAGTTCTAACAGTCAAATCAAATGTCTCACCAGAGGCAGCACATGCAACAGAGCAAAATAACACAGTATTAGATGTTAGGCAGTTGGCAGCTAAATGTTGTACATGAATCCTACTGCATATTGTGAACATATTTAATGTAAACACAACACTTAAGTACAGGGAGGGCACTGTTTGAGTGAAATGAATAATTTAAAATGATAGAATTATGTGTGTTGGAGGCCGCATGTGCCAGGAGCAGAAGAAAACTAATGGGGTCCAATGGAATAGAGCAAACATAAGTTATGATTAAATAAAACTTGTTCACAGTGTTGTACAATATCTACCTCTTATTCTACTAATTTAGCTTGATTGCCATAGAAAATATGACTTATTTTGTAGTCGTGGTCAAAAGTTTTGAGAATGACACAAATACTAATTTTCACAAAGTTTGCTGCCTCAGTTTTGATGATGGCAATTTGCATATACTCCAGAATGTCATGAAGTGATCAGATGAATTGCAATTAATTGCAAAGTCCCTCTTTGCCATGAAAATGAACTTAATACCAAAAAAACATTTCCACTGCATTTCAGCCCTGCCACAAAAGGACCAGCTGCCATCATGTCAGTGATTCTCTCGTTAACACAGGTGCGAGTGTTGACGAGGACAAGGCTGGAGATCACTCTGTCATGCTGATTGAGTTAGAATGACAGACTGGAAGCTTTAAAAGGAGGGTGGTGCTTGAAATCATTGTCTGTTAACCATGGTTACCTGCAAGGAAACACGTGCCGTCATCATTGCTTTGCACAAAAAGGGCTTCACAGGCAAGGATATTGCTGCTAGTAAGATTGCATCTAAATCAACCATTTACCGGATCATCAAGAACTTCAAGGAGAGAGGTTCAATTGTTGTGAAGAAGGCATCAGGGCGCCCAAGAAAGTCCAGCAAGCGCCAGGACCGTCTCCTAAAGTTGATTCAGCTGTGGAATCGGGGCACCACCAGTGCAGCGCTTGCTCAGGAATGGCAGCAGGCAGGTGCGAGTGCATTTGCACGCACAGTGAGCAAATTCTTTTGGAGGATGGCCTGGTGTCAAGAAGGGCAGCAAAGAAGCCACTTCTCTCCAGGAAAAACATCAGGGACAGACTGATATTCTGCAAAAGGTACAGGGATTGGACTGCTGAGGACTGGGGTAAAGTCATTTTCTCTGATGAATCCCCTTTCCGATTGTTTGGGGCATCCGGAAAACACCTTCTCCGGAGAAGACAAGGTGAGCGCTACCATCAGTCCTGTGTCATGCCAACAGTAAAGCATCCTGAGACCATTCATGTGTGGGGTTGCTTCTCAGCCAAGGGAGTGGGCTCACTCACAATTTTTCCTAAGAACACAACCATGAATAAAGAATGGTACCAACACATCCTCCGAGAGCAACTTCTCCCAACCATCCAAGAACAGTTTGGTGACGAACAATGCCTTTTCCAGCATGATGGAGCACCTTGCCATAAGGCAAAAGTGATAACTAAGTGGCTCGGGGAACAAAACATCAACATTTTGGGTCCATGGCCAGGAAACTCCCCAGACCTTAATCCCATTGAGAACTTGTGGTCGATCCTCAAGAGGCGGGTGGACAAACAAAAACCCACAAATTCTAACAAACTCCAAGCATTGATTATGCAAGAATGGGCTGTCATCAGTCAGGATGTGGCCCAGAAGTTAATTGACAGCATGCCAGGGCGGATTGCAGAGGTCTTGAAAAAGAAGCGTCAACACTGCAAATATTGACTCTTTGCATAAACTTAATGTAACACTTATGGAATGCTTGTAATTATACTTCAGTATACCATAGTAACATCTGACAATAATATCTCATAACACTGAAGCAGCGAACTTTGTGAAGACCAATACTTGTGTCATTCTCAAAACTTTTGACCACGACTGTAGGATTGAATGTTCTTTCACGCATCACTTTAATGAAAACAGAGCCCATGCCATGTGAACGTGGTCTGGCCCGGATTGGCATGTCCTCCATGGTGTAACTGTCCCGCTATAGTATGAGTTTCACCGACTTTATCAAAGACCCTTTTGTCAGACAGTCAGCACAGTTGGAAGAGGGTGGCAGAGCTCAAATTAAACCAATATCAGATTTGATTAATTTGATTACAGTGACATCAGGATATTCATGTAGTTTAAGGAAATAGGATATTGAGCATGCTGAAAACAATCTCCAAGACGCTGTCACCAAGGGTCAGTCTGATAAATGATCGACAGAATCTAAAATAGGAAAAATAACTGTTATGTATTTCTCTTCTAGCTGCACTGCCAAACACCCTCCATATAGTACTGTACTGTTCTGAACATACTAAAACCTATGCAGTCAGTGCATGTATTATTTTGCTTCACTTTCAAATTCAAACTTCCTTCCTACAGTCCTAAACTACTATGAAGTGCACACTACATCCTCCATCACTCTGAAGTTTACCTATGTTCCTTTTCCCTCTAAATCATCTAGAGTACTTCAGTGCACTTCACATGTAGTGCACGCGCATGTCATCCCACACTAGTTCCTCCTCTCCAGTATCTCCTCTTCCAAATTCTATGTAGCTAGTGTGCAGTCAGTCGTGTGGCATCCATTAAACAATCAATAGCACTTTGGAGCTGAGACTCAGAGAAAGTACAGAGCGCTACCACATCCTGTTTTGGAATCTGGACAGAGACTACACATGTGCAGCACAAAGATATGACATGCTGTAACTTCAGTAGCCAATAATAAACAACACCTGACACTTAACTCAGTCAAACCTGAACCAGGAGTGCAAAATCATACATGAGGATGCCATTGACATCAAATATGCGGGTATCTATTCAAATATGCGGGTATCTATTCAAATATGCGGCTATCTATTCTTCTCAAGATCTTGCTGCTTAAAACCTAATAATGCACCTGTGACCATGAACAAGGATCAGACAGCTACCCATTGTTTCTATTATTCTGTCTGGCAAATGCATTATAAGTTTCGATAAAGCGGAACACACAGACACACATTCTCTCTCTCTCTCACACCACACAAACACATTGACACACACACTATTGCTAAACCGACATCAAACACATCCAACGGATCTGGAGAAATGGGGGAAATGATCTGGCTGTTTAAACCTCGTTGGCGTTCCTTGGCTTCCCCTATAGCTCTGGGGAGCACATACTGATTGAATAATCTGGTTTGTAAATAGAGCTTTTTTTCAAACCAGAAATGGACTGGCCATATGGCAGTTCGGGAAAATGCCAGATGGGCTGGTCCATCTTTAGCCTAATGGTCCGCTCTAAAAATGGGCCGGTGTGTTAGAAATGCCCGGGTCGATTTCTGGTTCCAGTCCGTCTCTGGTTCAACCCCTGCTTGGTTTTTCATTCCGTGTCTGGATCTTATTGGTAGTAATGAGTTGATACCTTTTCCAGGGTTAGGGATGAGGAAAATGTAACATCTCACCGATGTGGATTCCAGTAATAGCTCCATAGTCTGCATCCTCCACCACTGGAGAGAGAGAGAGCAGAACACGGGAGAGAAAAGGATGGATCAAGGAACACAACCTTGTGACATCATTTTAATTCCTAATCAAATCAGTACAGTTCATTACTTTAAAAAAAAATGTTTAACACAGAGAGTATTTTTTTTTTACATTGTTCGATAGGACAAAAAGGGAAACAAGACCAACTATGACAAGCAAGCAGTACCTTCCTCCTTGTCTGAGCAGCATGGATACAAAACAAGACAAGTGAATCATGGAGACAGTAGTTAGTTATGTCGCTACACAGATAAAGGAAGAATTAGAAAACAATGATTCATAAAAAGGCCCATAAAGCAGGGGTCGACATCAGGCAGTCCAAGGGCCAAAATCAGGCCGCGAGTGATTTTTGGGGGCCCACAAAGTTTGTAGTCAAAATAATAAGAATACAAAAATTTTGGTTAAAAAAAGCCTGTAAAATCACCAGGAATTCAGCTAAAAATGTGTTTAATTTAGGAAATCTGTTCCCAAGTATTCCCACAAATAAAAAAGAGATATGTGATCGTGTCTCAATCAAGGTATGAAATCTCTTTTTCGGCTTACTTGTGGTCAATTTGCAGTGTACAAATTATTATATTTATTTTCCGGCCCCCGACCATTCGCTCCGGCATTTTGAACCATGTAATGTGTCTGAAAGTACAAACTCTGCCTACTCGGCATGCCCGGAGAGCAAATCAAGTGCACCTATAGACCTACCGCTAGCCAATTGGATTGCTTAGATCACAGTATCAAAATAAGTTGATACTGTGATTTAAAAACGTCTAAAACCATGACTAGAGAGAGACTGTCAAGGAATACAGAAAAGAGCTGCTGTTTTTATGAGTGAGTTCATGTTAAAGTTTTTATTCAGCATTGTCTACACTTTTTGTTCAACACTTTTATAAGCCATGAAATGCACTCCTCCACTCACGCTGCATCCAGCATTGCAGCTTCAATGAATGAGCAGCAATGTGTATCGTTAGGCTTGCGTTATAATTATTAGCGGCTGTGTGTTTTTTAATATCAAGTGATATTTTACTTTCTCTTGTCATAGAAGTAACAACATGAATTTGTGCATGCGCCAGCATGCTTCCCATGCGAAACAGTTCGGAACAGTTCATGCATACTATATTGTGACAACATTTTGTGAAGTTTTGGTCTTTGGCAAGGGTTTTCTCAGTTGTTCATGCACACAAATTGTTTTCTCGAGGCAAGTCGAAGTTCGGGAGCCGAAGTCTACGCCCCTTCGTCGGTCATTGGTCAACAGTAGGGATTCCTCAATGAAGTGTTTGTTGTCATTCAACAATAGACGACTTGTTTCCATGCAAGTTTTTTCACTTGAGAAATACTGCACCAAAGATGTAAAATTGTGTGACTAAGATCTCCTTAACAAAAACGTCAGAATTAATGACAGATTTCTTGCGTTATCTTAGAATAATTCTGACTACTTTGAGGAAGTGTATACTGGCTACGGCATCTCAAGATAGACAAACAGTTCTATTGCCGCTTTTTCTCGTTTTTCAAGCAAAGGTCTTTTAAAGGAGTATGCAAGCACACTCGTTCGGTTCGCCTACTAGGCGCCAGCCGAACCTAAGCATGCGGAAGCCTTCACTATTAATGGAGAGGAGAGAGCTGAGGGACGGTCCGACGGTAAGAGGCGGGCCCTCTGATGCTCTCCCTCCGCTGAGACTGACCATACGATTCAGGCACAATCAGTCCAGTAAAATAAAGAAAGCACATTATTTCAATTTATGCTCACTCAGCTTTGCCTCACAAGTAACACAACAAATTACAATCTATCCTTTACCAGTGTGATCATAAACCTCAAGTTTTGAAATATCATTTTTAAATGGTCTGAGAAGAACAACATTGGCAGGGCAATTCAAGCATAGCCAATATGCAGTGATAATGTACTGGGCATATAGCCTACTACAAACCTCATAGCTACAGAACTGTTTTTAAGTCCAAAAAAAAAATATCGGAGCGGTAGATCTCAGCCGTCATTTTGACTCAGAAAGTGATCTCGGCTCAGAAAAGTTTGGGGACCACTGCCCTAGATTAACTATTCAAGACCCAACAGTTGCTACCATTTGGGAAACACTGACGTAGAACATAGTGCTTGACTATGTTAACTGATTAACTGATATGCTCCTAAAATAATTAATATTGTATTGCAGTATAGTATTTTAAAGTATTGTGTATTTAAACCCAGATCTGGACCCGTATCCAAACAGAATAGAAAATGGGTTGTAAGTGCTGAGAATAGAGACTTCTTTCACCTACTCTTATGGGTAAAAATAAAAGCTATGTCTTAAAACAGGTTTTAACAGGATTCCTAGGACCTTTTCTGAGACGTTTTGTGGATACGGCCCTTGGTGCGATCCTAAGGGATTCCCTTCAACATGTGGCATTGCCCTTACGTGTGACTTTCACCTTGACCTTCAGGTATGACCTTAGATTTTCACCCTTTGTCCTGGGGAGAGTGTTACATGACTGTTTTATTCCCTGCAGGTGGGGGTTTACTGGAGAGATCATCACCTGTCAGTCTTTTTTGGACTCTCTGAGGTTTAAATAAGGCTTTGGGCCGCTGGAGAGCGACTCTCCTAAGGGAAGGAAAAAGAGAACAACAGTTATGTATACAGTACCATTACCTGAGTTAACCATTTTGGGTGCCATAATGGATCAGGCTAGGGATAATGTTCCTCAAACCTCGATTTGTCTAGTTTTCAGTTTATCAAAGGGTTCCGAACTCCAGGTTGACCCTCCTTGACCACTAAATTATGATCTGAGGAGGATTTTTTTTTTCCACTGTTGTTAAAACCTTTCTGGAGTGTCATGCTTGACTGAAAACATTCAAATTTAGAAGACCATAGAAACTGGGGACTTTACTGTGTTCTCATCTTCTAATTGTACATTCATATACTGTTCTCGTGTTAGAGATGTCATCTCAAAGTGATATGGACGTACAATAGCTGTTTGTATTGCTGTCAAATAACTATTTTCGAGTTTAAAAAACGGTTAAGATTGGAGTTAAGAAAACTATCCCTTTAAGTTATCAAATAAAGTCAAACTAACACAAAGCTGATGTGAGGGTAGTTATAAATGGCTGTGCATGGATTGACCATGGACATGGAGGCCCACCTCTCCTGAAGTTGCCTGGAGGGGATGAGTCCTGCTCGGGAGTTGCTGTCACCATGACGACAGGCCTGCCACCAGGTGTCGTCCTCCTGGCTAACGATCTGAAGGACGTCCCCCCTCTTGAACCCCAACCCCGCCTGTCTGCAGGGGATGGCGGGGTCCTCCTCAGGGTTGTAGTCAAAGAGCGACCGCACAAATAACTGAGAACCACAACAAAAAACACAAGAGCTTTACTTCATAATTTTTTTTTGACCAGATAGGTGCAATGACATATGTTAATTTACATGGACAGCGATAGTAGTACGGGGCCCCTGGAGCAAATTAAGGTTAAGTGCTTTGCTCAAGGGCACATCGGCAGATTTTTCACCTTGTCTCGGGCTCAGGTATTCGAACCAGCAACCTACGGTTACTGGCCCAACGCTCTAACTGCTAGGCTACCTGCCGCCAATGGTTCAACAATAGCGTCTTGAACATCCTAGGAGAAAGTGCTGTGAAGGTGGTGTGGCGGTGTATGGTTTTCATGTTGCTATCTCATACTCTGATGCTGTCATTTGCCTGAAATGTCAAAGAACCAATGTAAGCAGAGCACGATAGCTTTACCATAGTCTCATTGGCTGACAGCTCTTCCTTGGTGCCAGGTACCGGTATCACTTTAAACGTCACCTCTCCCTGCGATTGAGCCTGGCACGAAAATAATCACAAAATGTAGACTTGACTGACACACAGACATGTACACATTAAACCACACAAACACATCCGGGATGTACACACAATGATCCAAGCTAACAAGCAGCTAGACACTAGCCTCACTTGGCCAGACTTACAGACTGAAACAGACCACACACACACACACACACCAGAATAGGAATGATTTCCTCCGGTGTCTTATCCTCCATTGGGACTCCATTGACTTCCCTTAGCTCATCGCCCTCATGAATCAGACCTGCAAAATATCTTTGATTTCAGATCACTGATTTCTCTGAAACGGTTTATAAATGTATGATTACACTGTTATTACATTGTATATATGTAAAGGACATCATGCTGCTTGCTTAGTGAGTACCATTTCCCCCTTATATGGCCCATACCTGGCAATAACTCGGGACCTCTGCCTTGCGAGCACACGTGACCACCCTCCTGAAGCGTCTTACCAGTTGGCGCCACTCAAAAAGCTAGCTATTTGCTGGCGCAAGTGGGGACACTTCAGGCTGAGGAGTAAGCTTCACACATCCCCATGTGCTACATAGTCATATATTATCGATATAATGTCATTGTTCATGAATTCACTTTCTAAATGATTTTTACCACTTCTGTCTGCAGCACCCCCTCTCATGATCCTTGCTACAACTATAGCTCCAGTGGATTCATCCCTCTTTATGGTGGCCCCCTGAAAGAGAGAGGAGAGAGAGAGAGAGAGAGAGAGAGAGAGAAGAGAGAGAGAGAGAGAGAGAGAGAGAGAGAGAGGGAGAAGAGGAGGAGCGAGAGAGAGAGAGAGAGAGGAGAGAGAGAGAGAAGGAGAGGGAGAGAGAGGAGAGACAGAGACAGTGAGAGACAGAGAGAGACAGAGACAGAGAGACAGAGAGAGAGAGACAGAGAGAGAGAGAGAGATAGAGAGACAGAGAGACAGAGAGAGACAGAGAGAGACAGAGACAGAGAGAGACAGAGACAGAGAGAGACACAGAGAGAGAGATAGAGAGATAGAGGAGGACAGAGGACAGAGAGAGACAGAGACAGAGGACCGAGAGAGACAGAGACAGAAGACAGAGGGACAGAGAGACAGAGAGACAGAGAGAGACAGAGACAGAGAGACAGAGAGACAGAGAGACAGAGAGACAGAGAGAGACAGAGACAGATGGATAAACAAAGGGAGCGTGAAGAAAAAGAGGAGGGATGAGAAAGTGAGTGAGGGCCAGAAAGATATAGAGATGCAATCATACAACAAGTTCTTCATTGATGTTAATAACAGAGAAAAAAAATAATGTCTGCGCACGTTTGCTGCTCCCAATAAGCAATCTTCTAATAAAGCCATGAACATTGATGCTGTTACCCCAGGCCATAAATGTCACTTAATTTGCCACTGCAATTTGTTTAGAGACAGAACCATTTTGGCAGTGTGTGATGGACACAATCACATATCTGGAGAGGTTATCCCACATCTTTTTTTTACCAGATGTTATCAATGGGGTGGAAAAACACAATGGGAAACAGAGCATCTCATGCCGTTACCAACGATCAGGTCACGCCAGGGTGGAGCACTTTGCATTACGGATTAGAAAGATGGCGGCATGTTGCATCAATAAAACAGATCCAGTCTTAAAAAGGTCAGCACTAAACTTCCATACGTATACGTTTGGTAATACTTATCAGTCTGCATAACGGTATGTTTTCTATTATTGGCCGAAAATACCATCCAACCTCGATCGTTCACACACACACACACACACACACACACAAAGAGAGAGACGCACACACACAACAATGCTCGAACTCTGCAATGTGTCACTAGATATATGGCAGCAAAGATATGGAAGAATTGACTCTCCAAAGCTTGAGTATGGAAAGACTTTGCAGCCCCCAGGTTTTTCTATATCCCTGCTCATTATGTTGTCTTTCCATCTTGGGGCTTTTGTCATGGTTACACCTTTGCTTGTGTGGCTTCCATGGACTTGGTTGTGTGGCTACAATTTATCTCAGGACCCAGAAACAAATCAGCTACTTAGGCTATAAAAGCTATTTTATATGGCTTTAACCCTCAGCACATGTCCCATATTGTTGCAGAATGAGCCAACCTGGCCTCAGGGCAATTTGCATGATTTGGGATGTTTATTTTACCCCTTTTATATGTAGACAAAAACCTGCAATCTTTACCATACAAACTTCTTTATACCGCCTTTTCTTTATATCTGAACGGTGTAGGGGGTACAAATCGCGGTACAGTAAAACCCGCCAAGGGACCTAGACATGATTGCAGTATTTTCTTAAAAGAGATCATTCAGAAGTGGCATTGGCACGCACTAGGCTCTTATGCGCTGCGACTCTCACGTCCTGACGCACAATGCTCACTTGGGTGTACCACTTCCTGCCTCTGTTTCCAACCCCTCCCACCCTCCCCAGTGCCGGCTACACACCGGGATGTATATAACGGGGTATACTGGCAAGAAAGTGGTACAAATTGGACTGTTCTATTTTTTTTTTACAGGTAACATACCGTGAATTCTGTCTGAAATACTGTAGGTATTTGTGTCCCTCCATTTAGTAAGATATGTTAGGTTACGTTACATTACGAATGGAATAACGGTCGTACAATTGCATACAAATTGGAGGACGTATAGACGGGTGCAACAAAACTAATGCGTGCGCAACTTTGGGGCAAAAGAACTGTCAACTCCAAAGGATTATTGACAACGTGAACTATATTTAGTCTCCAAATATTTATTGAAAACATAAATACATTTACACAATAAGCACTTGAATTGGAGGCCAGGCTGCTTGTTGCTTTGTTAGCATTTGTGGCTAATGTTAGCAGCTAATGTAGCGAGAATTCACGTATCGGTTAGGAGAATAAGGTTAGGGTTAGAAACGGGTTAGGTCAAATGTTACATTTGTCCCCGACAAGATTCGAACCCGCAAACTTTGGGTTGCCAGACAGTCACATTATACGCCCACCCACCTCCTTTTATTTAATTTGTAACGTAACGTAACAAAATGTTACACAAAATGGAGGTGCACAAATGTAAGTAAAATATCCCATGTATGGCACTGATTTCAGGCTGCATGAGCACAATCCTAACTAGAGATCTCAATTAAGGATTCATCCCTACGCCCATGATCCACTCACCAGTGGCTCCTGGCTTTTGACCAGGCTTATAATCTTCACAGAGTCCTCATCCTCTTCCTCGATGTCATCAGGTAGGGGTGGCAGCTCGGGGTCATAACCTTTCTGTGCTACTGTGTCGTGAACAGAGAGAAGGCCCTGGACAGAGAACATTAGAAAACAGCGAGAGTAGCTTTTCATATACAGCGGGGTTTGAATTTACTGACACCCTTGATAAAGATGAGCAAAAATGACTGTATAAAATAAATAATTCAAATACTGAGCTATATTGTATGCTCAAAAAATTGGGAAATTATATTATTTTATACTAATACAGTTGCTCAGAGAAAGAGGTTTTGTTTAAAAAGTAATATTCGTATTTCTCAAAAATGTAGGGGTCAAAATTATTGACACCCCTGTTTTCAATACCTTTCAATACCTCACCCTGCGAGGTTAACGGCACTGAGCCTTTTTCTAAAACACATTCTCATTTCGACGTCAAACCCACCACTGGTGTGCATGGCCAAAGAGCTCTATTTTCATGTCATCTGACCAAAGCACCGGTTGGGCGCCGAAGACGTGGATGTCGATTAAGGCAGCCCTCCGCACCTCTCTGATTCAGAGGGGTTGGGTTAAATGCGGAAGACACATTTCAGTTGAATGCATTCAGTTGTACAACTGACTAGGTATCCCACTTTTCCTTTCCAATCCAAGTGCCAATGCCGTTTAGCAAACTCCAGGCGTTTACATTTGTTGGATGACATGAAAATAGAGCTCTTTGGTCACTCACACCAGTGGTGGATTCGGTGTGGAAATGAGAATGCATGAGCAGAAAAGAACCCCATACCTACTGTAAAATATGGTGGTGGATTTTTGATGTTATGGGGCTATTTCGCTTCCACTGTTCCCGGGGCCCTTGTAAAGGTCAACGGCATCGAGAACTTTACCCAGTACGAAGATATTTTAGCCAAATATCTGATTGCCTCTGCCAGAAGGCTGAAACTTGGCCATAAGTGAATCTTCCAGCAAGACAATAACCCTAAGCACACGTCAATTATTTGAATTATTTATTTTATACTTTCATTTTTGCTCATCTTAATCAAGGGTGTTAATAATTTTGCACCCTGTGTGTATTAGTGGCGGTCGGTCCAGGTAGGAAGGAAAGAATCCATATATCTATCCATACTTTCATCTATCTATCTGTCTGTTTGTGATACATCTGTCCATAGTCGTAAGAATTAAAAGGCCAATACAATACAATATAATACTGGTCAGTTCATAACAGGTTAAAAAATCCAGTAACGTTAACAGTAACAAGCATACGTATGAGCCACCAAGCGAGAGCCAGGAACAAACAGGTCGTTAAAGCTATCCAGATAAATCTGCAGTGAAGTCCTGGGTTGCATCCCAAATGGCACCTTGTTCCCTATATAGTGCACTACTTTTGATCAGGGCCCATAGGGAGTAGGGTGCCATTTGGGACGCACTCCTGGGCTGGCAACAATCCCTCGTTAATAAAGGAGCTCTACTGCAGCCCTGGAAAACCAGGCACTCTGTGTGTCTGCTTTGTAATTAGACCGAACAATTCCAGAATATTAGTGCTTCTGAGATGCTGTCGATAGGATTGAATAGAAACACATGCAGTAAAGGGCAATCTGGGATTCAAACAGGTTATATTCTTCAAGAATCAATTGCTATATATAATGAATTTAAAAGTCCAAAAATGTATGCACCAATCCTAGATTTCCCCTTTAATCGCTCAGTTTCTTTCTCTGCCCGATGCAGACCGGCTGCAGTTGTAATGACAATAATGAACATGATTGGTTATGTTACCTTTGCTGCTAATGACGCTAATTTGAAGATGTTAATAGCTTTGTGTAAAGGGCAGATGAAGGGAGGGGGAAACCAAACTACATTTCAAGCCTGGATAAATTTTTCTCCCAACGAATTGGGCCATGTAAGTAGTAATTATAGGCTATACTGAAACAGCACCTGTTGATTAGTCAGAAGAGGTTGTGTGTGTGTGTGGGTGGGTGTGTGTGTGTGTGGGTGGGTGGGTGTGTGGGCGGGCGGACGTGCGTGTGCGTGTGGGCGGGTGTGTGTGTGTGTGGGTGGGTGGGTGTGTTTGTGTGTGTATGGGTGGGTGTGTTTGTGTGTGTGTGTGTGTGTGTGGGTGGGTGGAAAGGGCAGCGGGTGTGTGTGTGTGTGTGTGCGCGCGCGCATGTGTGTGTTTACATGCATGCAATAACATTGGCAGGAGGAACAGATTACTTTAAGGCCAGGCACCACAGGCTAAAATTACATTTTTGCATCTACTTATCAATTTGGAGATTTTCTGTATTTTGGTCCATTAATGTTAGTATTTTCAAAAAGTTTAAAAAACTAAAAAGTCAAAAAGTTGATGAAAATGCATATTTTCATTAGTCATCAAAATGTCATGAATTGTAACCACTTTTAAATGGACATATATCCATCATTTCAAAGCTCACTACATTGAATCACACAAAATTTAAAAGCTAATTTCAAAGAGAATGTTATAAACTGGACTATATATAGTAACTTACTTTGAAGCAATGGTGAATGGGTCTAAATAGGTGTTTGGCGTTTGGTAGTCTAAATTCAGTGTCCTTGTCTTTAACTGCTATTTCCCTAAAGTCAGACTCTTCCCACAGGCCAACTAATTTTTTTCAGACTCAGAAGAATCTGCATTCACCACATTTTGTGTGGTTCTCTTAAGACTTATAGTATACATAGGGAATTGTTGATATATTGTATGTAAGGGTTGGTGTGAGGTGTGACCCAGGTGTGGGGCAGGATAGACAGTAGGCAGTAGGCAGAGATGGTGAAACAAGGATCTTTACTGGTGGTCCCAAAGCCAGGATACAAAATAACGGACTCGTCACGATAAAATAAAGGAGGAGCAAATTGGTCTCCAAAAACAGGCTGACAGCAAAAATATGAAATACTAACTCACTTCCTTGTGTTCCCTTGCTCAGTTTTCTCTGCTAGGGAATAAATACACAGGATCACGATTAGTCCAGACAGTGAGTGAAGAGGTGAATAAGGTTGTCGGAGGAGGACACCTAGCGGGTCGCCCCCCAACCCCCCCCCCCCCCCCAGGGAAGGGGCGCGAGCTTGAGACACATGAACTAGGGGCGGGTTCTGGAGGGTAGCACCTCAGACCCCTCCAGATCCTGGTGACCCCTCGTCTTCCAGTGCGAAACCGGGATGGAAGCCGCGAAACAAGACGAGCGCGAGGCTGGTTGAACGCTTCCAAACTGGAGCGAAGAGGGCGATCGACACAATTGGGGAAGGCCAAACCCGGAAAAAAGGCTGCCCACCAACTGGCCTCTCCAGGCCATGGGAGTTGAGAAGGGGAAATGAGTGCAACCTTCGAAAACCGTGAGTTCCGTCCGTGAGAACGAGGGAAGGATGGCTCCACCGCAATGCGAAGCATCACGCCCCAATAAAGGGACGGATCTGGTGCCCTGGAGGGCCCTTGTAAGCGCTGCTAAGGTCATCCGTAGTTCCCCCTCGGAGGGCCAGCGAAGAGAGCGCACGCTCGTTGTGGAGGCTTCAGGGGACTTCTAGGAGCTAAAATGTGAATAAATGACTAAAACTGGTAACCTAAAAACGTTGTAGTTGTTGAGGAGGCGGGCTGGGCCAAACAGTGTGCTGACCGTGGCTGGTTCATCTCATGGTCCCCTGAAAATAATCCCCAGGATGGAATCTCGTGTGGAACACCACTCTCACCTGAATAGAGCTGGTGATGGCAAGAGGAGGAGGTCGCGAGGTGATGCCGTGTGTCACCATGTCCTTGAAAATATGGATGTCATCCAATACACAAACGTGTAGCGGGAGTCGCGGAGTCATTGACAAGGCCTGAGAACCCGCAGGCATTGGCTGGACGACGGCAGACGTACTCATAATGCCCAACTGGGTGTGTTAAAAGCCGTCTTCCACTCGTCCCCCTCCCGAATCCTCACCAGGTTGTAGGCATTTCGTAAGTCCAGCTTGGTGAAGACCTGGGCTCCCTGCAATGACTTGAATGCCGTCTTCATCAGGGGGAGTGGGTAGCGGTTCTTAACCGTGATGTCGTTGAGCGCCCGGTAATCAATGCACGGCCACTGCCCACCATTCTTTTTCCCCACGAAGAAGAAGCCCGCGCCCGCGGGTGAGGTTGAGGGACGGATGTGAACCTCGACGAGTGCCTCGTCGATATACTCCCTCATGGCCAGCGTCTCCGGCCGGGACAAGGAAAATAATTGCCCTCGTGTGGGCATGGCGCCCGGCAGGAGATCGACAGCGCAGTCGTATGGCCTGTGAGGAGGTAAGCCCTTGGCACGCCTCTTACTAAACACCTCCCCTAGATCCCAATACACCCGGGGAAGGCCTGCCAGGTCTGGGCCGGTGACTGACACTGTAGCCGCCGTCCACCCGGTGGCAACCGCCGCTAGGGCGGTAGGCGGTTCGGAGTGCAGGACCTGGGGAAGAGGTGAGGACTGGTAGGTGGTCTGGGATGGTGGTTTGGGCTGATGAGTGGTCGGTGGAGACCAGAACAGGACGTAGGCGGAGAGGTGTCGAACACCTTGCGTAGCTCCCGGGTGAATTGGTAGGAGTCGGAGCACGCCGGAGTTTGACTTTCCCACTCCGCGGTAGCCCAGGAAAGGGCCCGATCTGTCACTAGAGTGATAATGTAGGCCACCCCGCCCTGCTCCGTCGGGAAGGAGGAGGGTTGTAGGTTGAATACCAGGGAACACTGGGGTGAGGAATTCCCTGCAGCCCTCTGGACATCCGTCGTACCTCTCCGGAGGTGGTAGGCGGGGTTCCCGCGATGTCACAGGCGAGACTGGAGACGCAGCTGCCGCGGCTTCTGCTCCACCGGCTGCCGGCGTTGGTCGGTGTCCACCCGGCTCTGCACGGCGATCGTCAGCTGGCGGAGATTCTCGGTTATCTGCTGCAGGCTGCGGTCGTGCTGGTTCAGTATAGCTCCCTGCATTGCCAATGCGCTACGATACTGTGCTGCCTCCGCTGGGTCCATATTTGCTCAGTTTTCTGTAAGGGTTGGTGTGATGTGTGACCCAGGTGCAGTGCAGAATAGACAGTAGGCAGTAGGCAGAGATGGTGAAACAAGGATCTTTACTGGTGATCCCAAAGCCAGGATACAAAATAACGGATAAAATCACGATAAAATAAAGGAGGTGCAAATTGATCTCCAAAAACAGGCTGACAGCAAAAATACGAAATACTAACTACGACTGAAACAACAATGAAACAGGGAGAACACTTCTCAAGTACCTGTACATACATCTCGCGATCAGACACTGATTCGTACTGCTTGGCATCGAGAAACTAGCAGAGAAAACTGAGCAAGGGAACACAAGTGAGGGCAAAAATACACAGGTGAACAGGTAGACACAGTTGACACCAGTAGGATCATGATTAGTGAGTGAGGAGGTGCCTAAGGTTGTCGGAGGAGGACACCTAGTGGGTCGCTCCGGAACTGCAACCCCCTCCTGTAACAATTGTACACATTTTATTCTAGTTGAGATTTTCTTCTGAGAAATGCTGCAAAAATGCATTTTACATACCTTTCTTTAGTATTTTACAGATAGAAAGATGAAAAATGTATTTATCCACAATCGGCTATGTGTAATATATGAAAGTAAAATATTCAGGCTGACTTAATCTAGTGTCCAGAAAAATGTATTTGCGTAATATGAAAATACAGTATATACATTATTTTGTGAGATATCACCAAATTTGCATATTTTAATTCAATATTTCAGAAGAATTGTAATAGCAAAAAGTATTATATATGTGTCCACATTCTGGTAAAAGTTGATTGTGAAATGATCAAGGGAAAAAAATACAGTTTTAGGGTGTGGTGCCTGGCCTTAATGTGTGTCTCTAAAAGAAACGGAATGAGGAATGTGTTTGACTGAATGAGAGAGTCTGACATTATTTACTTTCATATCCTTTATGGGAGACTCACCTTGATGTGTGGGTTGGACAGCAGGCTGATCAACTCTGAACATTCAGCACTGGCCACTTGAGTCCACAGCTCCTCAGCCAACTATGACACAGACACACACACACACACACACACACAGTATGCAGCCTCTGATATAACAATGAGGATGGTGTGTTTCGTGGTGAGATGTCTAGTGTGATACTGTTGTAACTTATTGCTTCAAGACAGTTGCAATGTTTCCCCATAGATTTATCCAAGGCAGAGTGCAACAGCCTCCAGGGAAAACACAACATTCTTTGAAAAAAAAGGTGCTATCTAGAACCTAAAAGGGTTCTTCGGCTGTCCCCATAGGATAACCCTTTGAAGAACCCTTTTTGGTTCCAGGTAGAACCCTTTTGAGTTCCATGTAGAACCCTTTATACAGAGGGTTCTAGATGGAACCCAAAAGAGTTCTACCTGGAACCAAAAAGGGTTCTACCTGGAACCAAAAAGGGTTCTCCTATAGGGACAGCCGAAGAACCATTTTGGAACCCTTTTTTCTAAGAGTGTGCTTCAAGATGTTGTGTGCACAAACCAAACAATCCGTAAGTCTGCCTGAAGGTCAATACTTTCCGCTGTGAGCAAACAGAAGCCATTTTGAAGAAAAACAGCTCTTTGGTTTGGCCCCTTCAGTAGACATTGATGATTTAAACCAGGCCTGGAGTGGCTGTCTAACAGGACCTTGAGTAAGGGGAATGGGAGGCGGAACAAGGATAGGGCATAAGGAAAGAGGGAATGGGGCGGGGGGTACTGACAGTAACTGTATCTTTTCCACCGATTTACTGAACTCTGCGCATGTTAGACACAAATACGGATGCCCACATTGGACATACTACAGAACAGTGGGGTAGGGGAGTGAGATAAGGAGAAGGTACTTAAGACAAAAGAGTAGGGTTGAGAGTTAAAGGGGAGGGGTGAAGTAGAGGATTATGGGAGAGTGGGAATTCTCAGTGTCACTTTATGGAGTTGACATTAATTCTAGTCCTCAAAGCTGAAACATTACACTTGGGGTGAAATTATTTTAACACCTTAATGCTGAAAACTGTCCCCCATGATTTCACTCTGTATAGAAGAGATATGTAAAATAATATCACTTTAAAACAAGGCTTTGCCTCGGTTGGTCATAGTTGCTTAGTCAATGGATGTCATGAAAAAGTATTTAGGCCCCTTCGATTTTTTCACATTTTATTGTTACAAAGTGTGATTGAAATGAATTTAATTGTAATTTTTCTGTCAACAATCTATACAAAATACACACAAAATTCAAACACAAAAAAAGTCATAACTACAATATATTATCAGCCCCTTTGTTTAGGCAAGCCTAAATTAGTTCAGGAATAAAATGTGGCTCAACAACATTTTATATATAAATAATAATAGAGGTTGACATGAATTTTGAATGACTAACCCTTCCTCTGTCCCCAATACATACAGCATCTGTAAGGTCCCTCAGTCAAGTATTGCGTTTCAAGCACAGATTAAAATACAAAGACCAGGGAGCTTTTCGAAAGCCTCATAAAGAAGGGCAGTGATTGGTAGATGGGTAACAATAACAAATCAGACAGGCGTCCTTCTGAACTGAGCTGCAGGACAGGAAAGAAATTGCTCAGGGATGTTACCATGAGGCCATAGGTGACTTTAAAACAGCTACAGAGTTCAATGGCTGTGATGGAAGAAAACCGATGATGGATCAACAACATTGTAGTGACTCCACAATAATGAACTAAATGACAGAGTGAAAAGAAGAATACAAATATACAGAATATTCCAAAGGCACTAAAGTAATACTGCAAGGAAATGCTAAATGGCCTGAATGCGAAACCTTATGTTTGGGGAAAATCCAACACAACACATCACTGAGCAACTGCCTCCTTATTTTCAAGCATGGTGGTGGCTGCATCATGGTATGGGTATGCTTTACATTGGCAAATACTGAGGAGTTTTTCAGGATAAAAAGAAACCGGACGGAGCTAAGCACAGGTAAAATACTAGAAGAAAACATGCTTCAGTCTGCTTTACACCAGAGATTGGGAGAGGAATTTACCATTCAGCAGGACAATAACCTACAACACAAAGCACTGGGGTTGCTTACCAAGAAGACAGTGAATGTTCCTGAGTGGCCAAATTACAGTTTATTTTGTCATTTAGCAGACGCTCTTATCCAGAGCGACTTACAGGAGCAATTAGGGTTAAGTGCCTTGCTTAAGGGCACATCGACAGATTTTTCACCTAGTCAGCTCAGGGATTAGAACCAGTGACCTTTCAGTTACTGGCACAAAGCTCTTACCCACTAAGCTACCTGCCACCCTAAATTTGCTTGAATATCTATGGCAAGACTTATGATTTATGTCTAGCCATGATCCCCAGCATCTTGACAGAGCTTGAAGAATTTTGAAAAGAATAATGGCAAATATTGCACAATCCAGGTGTGTAAAGCTCTTAGAGACTTTACCCAAGAAGACTAACAGCTGTAATCGATGTCAAAGGTGTTTCTAACATGTATTGACTCAGGGAGCTGAATACTTATGCAACAACTATATTTTAGTCATTCATTTGTTATTAACCATAAAAAATACAAAATAATTGTTGATTTACACTTCGACATTACAGAGTTTTTTGTATAGATTGTTGAGCAAAAATGACAATTAAATCAATTTTAATCTGACTTTTTAACACAATAAAATGTGAAGAAATCCAAGGGGTCTGAATACTTTTGCAAGGCACTGTATGTGGGGACACTTATCATTAAAAATGTATCTCTCTCTCTCTCTTTATCTATCTATATTTATATCCATCCATCCATTCATCCATCCATCTGAAGGCACAGAGAAAGACTTACGTTACAGGCCAGACTCTTTGCGTTATCCCGGACCGGGACAGGATTCCTTCTTCCAAACCGCCTCAACCTTGCGTGGATCTGAGAAGAAGGAGAGAGATTCAGGCTATGACACTGGTTGTTACTATTACAGTACATCACCGATGATGTACATCTGTTGTATTCATTAGTGCACACCACAGCAAAACGTTTCGCAAGAGAAAACGAGGAAACAAGGGAAATGTTCAGGTAGTCCCTCCATGTTTCGGCCCGTTTGCTTCCGGTTGGTTCCTAGTGAATACTACCCAGTACATCCCTCTTGCATTTCCATAGCTACACACTATGACATACTGTAATTGTACATGATAAACTTTCTCAGATATCATTACATAACTGTAGCATTGCCATGACATCACAGTAGTTAAAGCCAGTTTCACCTTGACCAGTAGATGGAATCTCCTTTCCATGATCATGCTTTTAAGAAACGCAAAGTCCTCATTTCTGTCCATTATAGATTTCATCCCAGAGATCACCAAGGACAGCAGTTCAAACACACCTGAAGTAGAGGAGAGAGGAGTTCACAACAAACATGTGCACACACACACACACACATACACACACACACACACACACATACACTACCAGTCAAAAATCTGGACACACCTACTCATTCAAGGGTTTTTTCTTAATTTTTTACTATTTTCTACATTGTAGAATAATAGTGAAGGCATCAAAACTATGAAATAACACATATGGAATCATGTAGTAACCAAATAAGTGTGAAACAAATCAAAATATATTTTATATTTGAGATTCTTTAAATATCCATCCTTTGCCTTGATGACAGCTTTGCACACTCTTGGCATTCTCTCAACCAGCTTCATGAGGTAGTCACCTGGAATGCATTTCAATTAACAGGTGTGCTTTCTTAAAAGTTGATTTGTGGAATATCTTTCCTTCTTAATCCGTTTGAGCCAATCAGTTGTGTTGTGACAAGGTACGGGGGGTATACAGAAGATAGCCCTATTTGGTAAAAGACGAAGTCCATATTATGGCAAGAAAAGCTCAAATAAGCAAAGAGAAATGACAGTCCATCATTACTTTAAGACATGAAGGTCAGTCAATACAGAACATTTCAAGAACTTTGAAAGTTTATTCAAGTACAGTCGCAAAAACCATCAAGCGCTATGATGAAACTGGCTCTCATGAGGACCACAACAGGAATGGAAGACCCAGAGTTACCTCTACTGCAGAGGATAAGTTCATTAGAGTTACCAGCCTCAGAAATGTCAGCCCAAATAAATGCTTCACAGAGTTCAAGTCACAGACACATTTCAACATCAACTGTTCAGAGGGGACTGTGTGAATCAGGCCTTCATGGTCGAATTGCTGCAAAGAAACCATTACTAAAGGATAACAATAAGAAGAAGAGACCTGCTTGGGCCAAGAAACACGAGCAACGGACATTAGACTGGTGGAAATGTGTCCTTTGGTCTGGAGTCCAAATTTGAGATTTTTGGTTCCAACCGCCGAGTCTTTGTGAGACGCGGTGCGGGTGAACGGATGATCTCCGCATGTGTAGTTCCCACCGTGAAGCATGGAGGAGGAGGTGTTATGGTGTGGGGGTGCTTTGCTGGTGACACTGTCTGAGATTTATTTAGAATTCAAGGCACAATTAACCTGCATGGCTACCACAGCATTCTGCAGCAATACGCCATCCCATCTGGTTTGGGCTTAGTGGGACTATCATTTGTTTTTCAACAGGACAATGACCCAACACACCTCCAGGCTGTGTAAGGGCTATTTTACCAAGAAGGAGAGTGATGGAGTGCTGCATCAAATGACCTGGCCTCCACAATCCCCCGACCTCTGCCCAATTGAGATAGTTTGGGATGAGTCGGATGGCAGAGTGAAGGAAAAGCAGCCAACAAGTGTTCAGCATATGTGGAAACTCCTCCAAGACTGTTGGAAAAGCATTCCAGGTGAAGCTGGTTGAGAGAATGCCAAGAGTGTGCAAAGCTGTCAGTAAGGCAAAGGGTGTCTATTTGAAGAATCTCAAATATAAAATATATTTTGATTTGTTTAACAGTTTTTGGTTACTACATGATTCCATATGTGTTATTTCATAGTTTTGATGTCTTCACTATTATTCTACAATGTAGAAAATAGTAAAAATAAAGAAAAACCCTTGAATGAGTAGGTGTTCTAAAACTTTTGACTGGTACTGTACATACACACAGATGCAGTCCACCTGCTCCTCTCCCTCCATTTACAAGAGGGTCAGTGGGAGGGTCATACATAACCAGTCAGAGGACAAGGTCAGGGGTCATGAGGGATGAGTCAGAGGTGTCAAAGGTCACACCAAGGGTGTGGTGAAAACATCAAATAGGGGAGCCCATGTAAGGTATTCCCAAACAGACTCTCTTCCACATCTACATTTCAGCATACCCAAATAGTCTTCACTGTCTTCCTTTCCTTTAGCCCATTTCAGTTACAAAGACGGATCTGGTCTGACTTTTTGGGAGAATACTCATGCTGTGCAGGTCGCTCCATCAGACAAACACACACCTCCAAACGTACCTTCTGGTCCAATAGAAAGACTCAGCATACTCCTTGTCTGTGGAAACACATATCGAAAAATAAAATATCTAATGAGTAATCTAATCTGGTAAGATTATTCCTGGTAAGATTTTTCCTTATATGTCAGTTGTGTATTTGTATATATTTATGTGTTAACCCTTTACACCTGTGGGAATTGGCCTACAGTGCATTCGGAAAGAATTCAGACCCCTTGAGTTTTTCCACATTTTGTTACGTTACAGCCTGAATTTAAAATGGATGAAATTGTTTTTTCCCCTATCAATCTACGCACAATACCCCATAATGACAACGCAAAAACTCGTTTTTATAAATTTTTGCAAATGTATTAAAAATAAACAACTGAAATATCACATTTACATAAGTATTCAGACCGTTCACTCAGTACTTTATTGAAGCACCTTTGGCAGTGATTACAGCCTCGAGTCTTATTGGGTATGATGCTACAAGCTTGGCACACCTGTATTTAGGGAGTTTTTCCCCATTCTTCTCTACAGATCCTCTCAATCTCTGTCAGGTTGGATGGGGAGTGTTGCTGCATAGCTATTTTCAGGTTTCTCCAGAGACACTAGATCGGGTTCAAGTCCGGGCTCTGGCTGGGCCACTCAACAACATTCAGAGACATGTCCCGAAGCCACTCCTGCGTTGTCTTGGCTGTGTGTTTAGGGTCGTTGTCCTGTTGGAAGGTGAACCTTCGCCCCAGTCTGAGGTCCTGTGCGCTCTGGAGCAGGTTTTCATCAAGGATCTCTCTGTACTTTGCTCCGTTCATCTTTCCCTCGATCCTGACTAGTCTCCCAGTCCCTGCCGCTGAAAAACATCCCCACAACATTTTGATGCCACCACCATGCGTCACCATGGGGATGGTGCCAGGTTTCCTCCAGATGTGACGCTTCGCATTCAGGCCAAAGAGTTCCATTTTGGTTTCATCAGACCAGAGAATCTTGTTTCTCATGGTCTGAAAGTCCTTTAGGTGCCTTTTGGCAAACTCCAAGCGGGCTGTCATGTGCCTTTTACTGAGGAGTGGCTTCCGTCTGGCCACTCTACCATAAAGGCCTGATTGGTGGAGTGCTGAGATGGTTGTCCTTCTGGAAGGTTCTCCTATCTCCACAAAGGAACTCTAAGGAGCCCTGTCAGAGTGACCATTGGGTTCTTGGTCACCTCCCTGACCAAGGCCCTTCTCCCCGATTGCTCAGTTTGGCCGGGCGGCCAGCTCTAGGAAGAGTCTTGGTGGTTCCGAACATCTTCCATCTAAGAATGATGGAGGCCACTGTGTTCTTGGGAACCTTCAATGCTGCACATGTTTTGGTACCCTTCCCCAAATCTGTGCCTCGACACAATCCTGTCTCGGAGCTCTACGGGCAATTCCTTCGACCTCATGGCTTGGTTTTTGCTATGACATGCACTGTCAACCTTGGGACCTTATATAGACAGGTGTGTGCCTTTCCAAATCATGTCCAATCAATTTAATTTACTACAGGTGGACTCCAATCAAGTTGTAGAAACATCTCAAGGATGATCAATGGAAACAGGATGCACCTGAGCTGAATTTCGAGTCTCATAGCAAAGTGTCTGAATACTTATGTAAAATAAGGTATTTCTGTTATTGTTATTTTTATAAGTTTGCAAAAACTTCTAAAAACCTGTTTTCACTTTGTCATTATGGGGTATTGTGTGTAGATTCATGAGGACAATTTTTTATTTAATCCATTTTATATTAAGGCTGTAATGTAACAAAATGTGGAAAAAGTCAAGGGGTCTGAATACTTTCCGAATGCACTGTATATGGACAGGGCTAAATGTAAATGCAAAACCATATGCATAACCATTGTAGCAATTGAAAGGGAACAGTTTGAGATAATGGGAAAAATATTAGACCAAAGGTGAGTACACAACAGTTAACCTGACAAGACTGAATCCAAACATTACACTGTTGATTTATGTGCATTTTACATTTACTGTACTTTCCGATGCATTTGTTGATAACGAAATCAGAAAAATATACTCTGCATACATTCAGTAACATGATAAGACTATTCCTGGAAAATGTGGGGTAGTCGCAACATAAAACAACAACAAATACAAGAGTTTGAGTAAGATGACTAACTGGTGTCTCCAAGTGGCCACAATTTCAATACACTTTTATGACTCAAAGAATAGTCTTCAACTACAGTGGGGGAAAAAAAGTATTTAGTCAGCCACCAATTGTGCAAGTTCTCCCACTTAAAAAGATGAGAGAGGCCTGTAATTTTCATCATAGGTTCTCGTCAACTATGACAGACAGAAATGAGAAAAAAAAATCCAGAAAATCACATTGTAGGATTTTTAATGAATTTATTTGCAAATTATGGTGGAAAATAAGTATTTGGTCACCTACAAACAAGCAAGATTTCTGGCTCTCACAGACCTGTAACTTCTTCTTTAAGAGACTCCTCTGTCCTCCACTCGTTACCTGTATTAATGGCACCTGTTTGAACTTGTTATCAGTATAAAAGACACCTGTCCACAACCTCAAACAGTCACACTCCAAACTCCACTATGGCCAAGACCAATAAGGTACTTTTTTGAGCTCTCCTAGCTGTGCCATTGAGGAACTACAGCAAGTACACTTGTAGTAATTTTGTTTGGAACACAACCCTGCATCCCCATCATCACACAATTACTGTTGTTGTTAACGCAATCCAAAAATTGTATTCACACCCCTAGACTTTTTTTTTTACATTTTGTGTTACAGCCTGAATTTAAAATTGATTAAATTGAGATTTGTCACTGGCCTACACACAATACCCCATAATGTCAAAGTGGAATTAAGTTTCTCGAAATTTTTACAAATTTATACAAAATGAAACGCTGAAATGTCTTGAGTCAATAAGTATTTAACCCCTTTGTTATGGCAAGCCTAAATAAGTTCAGGAGTAAAAATGTGCTTAACAAGTCACATAATAAGTTGCATGGTGTT